GACGGTTGATAAATTACACGAGAGAAAGAGGAAGGATGAGAGAGTAAATAATCCCAGACGTGGGATAAGAGATAAAATAAGTTCCAGACAACGCGTGCACTTCAGTAACCTCAGTAGGGAAGGTAAAAGTAACTACTCGGAATTGTACCAAAATCGAACATTCGTAGATCTCAATTGCATATAGTACTAATTACCAACAGTTTCTAACCAATGCAGTTACTAATTAAACAGATTCGGGTAGCTTACGTAAGCAATTCTCATCAGGGATAATTAAAAAGAATTGCCCGTCTGTAAAATTGATTTTTCGTCATACACTTAAGTCGATCAGGAACAAATTTTAACTTGAGAAGAAGAATCCTCTCTACGAAGCGAGAGACATAGTTTAATGTGCGAGTTGGATACGTTTTGGAATTAATTACATCACTTTATTTTCATTTCAAGGCTCAAGACTCTGCCGGGAAGACTGTCCTTTCGTCTGATCACTTACGTTGAAACTCATTAGCGGTAAAAAGAACCATCAGATTTTGAAGAATGCTTTTACACAAATTCCCTTATGAATACACATTAAAAATTTCCCCCGTTCCCAGTCTAAAATTAACTGAATCTAGACCGCGGCGTCTCCCGCACAGCCAAGTGGTTACTGACCCCGCCCGCTGAACCCTACACTCTGACACGCCGTGAAACACCAATCGATCAATCAAACAAAATGCAGCTGCGATGTAATGAGTACTAACAAATACGCTGTAGAGCTATAGTACTAATGAGATGTTCCTCCTTCCGTCTGCGCCGGCAGGACCGCGCGCGGCCGCCGTGCAAGATGTCGCACGGGGCTGGGGTAGGGGCGGGGGCGGCGGCGGCGGCGGTGGATGACGGCGCCGACGGCGGCGGGGGCTGCGGCGTGGCCGGGCAGGGCGGTGGGTACGGCGGTCTGGGCAGCGGCTTCGGGTGCGTGGGCTCGGGCGCGGCGGCGCGGCACGCGCAGGCGCTGGCCAAGCGGCGCGTGCTCGAGTCGCAGTTCTGCCTGAAGAACAAGCGCTTCGCGGCGCTGCGCAAGGAGATCCTGGACAAGCAGCGCACGCTCACCGACCTGCGCGACAACCTGATCGACATGCACGAGCGCCTGCAGGTGCGCGCGCGCGCGGGCCTAGAGCGCTGCCGAGGATTCTTCTAGAGTCTAAGCCTAACGGCCGAATCCGCCAAAACCATATATTCAAATTTTTATATTTCAAACGCAGATGTAATATAAAATGAACATAATATTTATATAAAATAAGAGGGTCTCAAAACAAATGTTACGAACTTCTAGGCCTTTCAGGTAGGTTCAAGGTGATTGCCTTTTCCCAATGAGCATGTGGTGAAAATTTCATATAAAGAAGTTATACGTGTGACCGTGCCCCTGATTGGTAGGCAACCCATCTTGCTCTGGTATTTACGTTCATGAAATACGAGTCGGAATGCATTATTGCTAAACACCACTTTAGTGATCGTATTCAGTCTCCCTTAGTGTTACATAAATTTTATTTACATTACTGCTTTAAATTAGTGCTACATAAATTTTATTAAAAGATTTATTTAGAGGCATCTTGTATATTCATTATCTTGTATAACAATCACACGAAATTCCAATAAACTATTGTATTTTTCTACGAAAGGGCATGTTTGTTTATTGGAAAAGTCACGCCCATATTTTGACAGGGTTCGGTGGACATTTCTAGGAGTGCTGGAAAGGAACGCGTTCCTCTTGTTCCTGTTCTCGTTTGCATGACTTTCTTAACTAGATTTTACTTTGTCACTACGGAGTAGAAAGAATGTTATGTAATACTGCGCGACAAACGGCAAAATTTCGCCTAAAAAACTCTATTACAGGGCCCTAGAAACTAAAAAGTGGATAAATTCAGTTCCTAAATTTAAAAAACCTCCCCTAACCTCCCCTAGTGTAGTCATAATCCATGTTTTGTGAGTCCTTGATACCAAAAAATCGAATGACGGCAAAACGTCTCTCCGTCTGCGAACAACGCTAGTAGCTACGCCGTACAGATAATTTTCTCCAAAATTCATATTCCCCGAGCTGTCTGATGTCACGACCCTTTGAATTTGAAACCAATATTTTAATTTTTGATGGCACTTTACATGTAGCACCTGGGACATTTTCAAAATTTTCAAAAAAAAGGGTCTATCGATTTTAATTAAATGTTTTTGGTTAGTGTGAATTACGTTTTAAGAGAATAGTGTAGGTCTCATGTTCGTTGAAAACTCTGATTTCTCCAAAATTGTAAAAGTTCAACATTTCTTTAGAGTCTTCCTATAACTAAAATATTAAATATAGAGAATTTTTCATCATTGGAATGCTTCTTAATGATAGATTTTGAAATTAGGTTAAAATTGTTCGAAAATTCGAGTTGTTTTCACGTAATTTTGCGTAAAATACGGACGAGAAAGCACGTGCTCGTTTTGCGTCACGAGTTTTTTTCTTATTTCGATGCCATTAACAATGCTAGGTGTAACCACTATCTGTCAAGGAAAATTGTGCCACATTTGACATCAATATCGGGATAACAAGGCAGAGGTAGAAATGAAACTAGACAGACATAGAGGGCCTCAGACCACAACGTAGCGCAACTTTCTGCTCGTATTCCACTTCTTGACATCATGTTATCCTATTAAAATATTGGCTAATGCTCTATTTCTCAGAACAGATCTCTGAAGTCAATTGTAGGTAGAGATCTACACTCCTGCTCACACAATTTTCTCAAACTTATTATCCCGAAAGTAGAAATTGTATTAGTGAGAAGAACATGTCAACTTACCGACAGCTAAGGAAATCTGCCAACTCGCGCCATTAATGCAAGTGTATAGTGTTTATGAAATAGAACAGCTTTTAAGAAAAAACAAAGTAAAATCCATTTTAGATCGGGAAAATACAAAAAATATATGACGTCAGTGTAACTTTAATTGTGAGTACGCACAAGTAATTAAATAATTGACCTATTAATACTTATTATCCACACTAAAAATATAGTGACAAAGATTTGTTAATGCAGAATTGTATAGTATCAGTTTCCAAATTGTTTAGCTTATTGGAAGTAAACACTTAAAATTGCAGATTATAGAACATTGTGTTCATGATAGGAACCATTGATCAACCTGAATTAAATCCATTTTTAAAAACTTTCTGAAGTCTCCAATACTCAATTATTCTTTTTAGCAACACTGAACTGTCATATTGACATGCCGACACCAAACGGAGGAATGTAAAGCCAACAGCGGCGTCCGTTAAGAACATTGAAAGCAAATGAGCTATTCCTAAGCATGGTTTATAAGTACTTATATTTCAAAAATAGTTATTTATCCATCAATGGCGTTATGAGAGTTATAATAGTCTCGGGGCACAAGAAGCTCAAAGACAGAAGGCCGGAGGCTATAATTAGAACCAGTTAACGCCCGTGGTACATAGAATATTTTACTTTTTACCCCTCTTTTGATGATTCCGATTGCCTTATTTACAACTTATCTAGATGTAAATTGACGCGGTTTTTCTCTTACTTTCCTTACATTATCCCCTTTCATAATCCCCTCCATGTAAAACATGTAGCATCATTCAACTGTTTATATTTCCTTCGTAAAGTATAAAACATTGTATTTTTATGATTTTTCTTATAAGACTACGGTATTAGGAAACAGTCTAGAAAGACACACGGCTAATATCACATGTGAAATGGCAATGACCAAGCCACATTCGTGTTGTTACTGTATACTTCAAGGAATTCGAATACGCGTCACACAGAACTCACGAAAGCGAAATGCTCATTGGAAATAAATATCTAAAATGTTTAACGATAAAATGTTTTTGTAATTATTTGCATCCTTCATTCCATTTTAGTAAAATAGTCGCTTGATTTTTACGCATTTCAACAAATTTAATGTTTGGTTTCTTTTTGAAACAGAACGTCAACCTCGGTCTAAGAGAAGTTCTCTTGCTGATGCTTCGCTTGACGTTTTGCCTCAATGATGAGAAGATAATTCATTAGCCAGGTGAGGAGCAAACTTCCAAGAAAGACTTTGTCCACAATTACTATCGCGTCACGTTTTGTAATAAATCCATTATAAATTATCAAATAATAAAATACTATTTCAAAATTTTATAGTACATTTCCTCACGCAAATAAGACTTTGTCACGTCAAGATCATTGACTTAATTTGTCATTGACTTCATGAACGTTTATTTGACGAACCGTTTTAAGACACCGGGTGAAGAATATGATATTCCTGAAATTTAAAATTTTGTATTACGTATTCTTTACAAATTTGAAATTGAAACAATGTACTTGATGACAACAATATATTTCAAATTTGAAATTTTTCAGAAGAGTGTGAAAGCCTTTTAGTCCGAGTATTCCTAATTATTGAATATTTCAACTTTGTGATCATATCTTCTGGATATGCCTATATCCGTAAATTTATAATTCACATTTTTTCTTACCATCAGGTAAGAAATGAATAGTTTTTGAAATTGCTACTAAAAAAAATCTATTAGTTTCTAGTTTTTAATATTTTCAACTCGTTACATTCCTCAAATATATTTTATTTTCATTAAATTTATTGTATTTGGGAATAAATATTCTCTGATGATTTCTGGGTATGACGGACAAGGTCTTTTTTGTATGTGAGCTCTTCCGGTTCAATGGGCAAGTATTGCTTCACTTGCACATTGTAAATTAAATGTCAAACCAGCAATGTACTTAACACTATCCGTACGAAAATATGGATTTTGAAAAATGTAAATTTTTTATGAATCAGTAACCCAATCCGATTAAATTAACAAAAATAATCATATTCAATCCATCGCTTCTGACTAATCACACTGTATAACGCACTACGATACCGATAAATAATGATTAGTTAGTTTAGAGCACGTTATATTGCCAAAGTCTTAAAATCATTTTTTTAGCGATAAAAAATGTTAAACTGCAGCTCATCCGCTCGCGAATCGGCATTCTAAAATGCCACTGCTGCCCCGGCATGTTTGGCAGGCGGCGGGCTCCAAGGAGACAAGCATCCCCGAGGCCCTGCCATGGATGATGGAGGGTGGAGGCGGGGCCGGGGGCGCTAGCGCCAAAGCTTGCCGCAGCAGCGAGTACGGCGATGGCGCCGGGGCCGGTGGCGGCGGCATGGAAGGCAGCGGTCGCGACCACCGCGCCGCCGCCGCCGGGGAGACAGTCGCCAATCACACAATCTCAGGTAAAGCGCAGGGATGTGTTTGGGTCATCACTTCGTTGAAACTGATAGTTTTTGTAACCGTTCGTTATTTTCAACAGCTACAAATTTCAGTTCAATCATTTACCTTATCCAATTTATTTCATTATAAAAAAACTCGAAAGAAACGTTTTAAGATATCATGGTTCACATCCTTTTAATGGCGATGGCCCCCTTTTACCTAATGTATTACGCTACGTTACTTATGGTTTTACCGCAATTACTGATTTGTGCAAGTACATAGCAAGAGTTGGAAAAAATGCTGATATTGCCTCCTGTTTCCACAACAGATGTCAGGAAAGACGCCGGTATTTGAGAAAGAAAATCTGATAACAGCGATAACTTTAGTCTTATATTTATTCCAGGCCAGTAAAGCGACATCAAAACTATCACAATACAGGAAATCCACAAGGTAGCTTTGAAACTTTTACGATGGTGATATAGAAGAAAGGATGTAATTTAGTAACAGTTCTAGAAAATATGATTCCTGAAAACAGTGAATACCTGAGCCAATAGCGTGCATTGTAATATTGGCTTGATGTCGTTCGAAGTGAATCACTTTACTAAGATCTATGAGTGATTGTTTTATTATTGTGTTTCTTTCATCGAAATTTTCCGATTCGTATCGCTTGTCGAGAAGCCATATTTTAATATTTTGGACCTTCAAGTCAGAGAATACTTTGTGTCACGTTGATGACGTGGCGAACAGATGAAAGACATTGAAGTGCATGCAGTGAGAGTGAATGTAACGAAGAAACGTAATACGCATAATGTAAATAAAATCTGAATTGCATGCATTAAGGAAAACTCTGAGATCAACAAGAAGATAATTTTGAAGAATAATTAGCATTCTAAAATCTTTTGTTCCAAATCACAGATCGAACTGTGAAATTTATATTATAATAAAGCTAGAAGTAATATAATATTAGTATATTTGAGACGAAGTCCTCCCTCTTAGTACTTAAGTTGCAAGGCAGGACCATAGAATTGAATGGATTTGGTATTTTAGGGTCGGATTAATCCGACTTCGGCGTCCAGCGGCGTTCCCAGTCCTGCGCCCTGTTTTTATTAATTGTCCACGCCTGGGATAAATGAGCCTTGTGGCAAGCATAACGTATTCCCATCACCAAACCTAGCTTAATTAACCTGCCTTCAAGGTTTATTTCGCCAAATAGCTGCAGAAACTATTTGTATTAGAAAGCTACAGGTTAGTTTTGACCTCGACCGGAAATCGATCCCAGGACCACCTCACAAAACTCTGTCCATGAACCACCCGAGGGGCATAGTAGCATAGAATTACCCGATAAAAATAATAAAGTACAACCTCCACAATGAATCTGAGGAGGTGGATGGCTAAAAAGGGGTAGAATTAATATCTTTGTGGTTTCAGCTGAAATGCTGAAACTACAGATGCGAGGCCAATACATTAATGACTTTTTTTATTTACAAACTTCTTCATGCGTGGGTGTATGTTATCGTAATGTAATCTCAAAATGTGAGAGCACGATTACTCAAACTTATCCATTCGCATGTTCAAATCTCGTTCTCAGAACGAATTTTATACCAAATAAGTTGTTTTGTTAGTTTTTTATTTATTTGTACTTTTCCAAATTCGTGCCACATCTCACGGCCATTTGCAGTTCAGGTAGCCTTGATCGCAAAAAATGAAAGAAAAATTAAAATTTTGTGATACATTTTTAAAATGAAATTTAAATTAATGTTAAGTCCTTTTTAACGTCACATAAAAAGTAGAATATATATTTTGGATAAATTATTTCTTGTAGTCAGAGATCAAATGTTCACAGACGACCACTTTAGAGCTAATGAATCTTAAACCTGGCTTTTCTCTAAAGTTACTTTTTTTCTTGTTCGGCTCGACTCGAAACATAACTTTTCTACATTTAAAGATACCTTTATTATTGTATTTTTATTTAATAACAGAAAGTCAATTCTTATGCCTAAACCGGAAATTGTTGTAAAAAATTCAAATTAGGAAAATTAAATTACTATGTTAACTGTTATTGTTACCAGTGACTTTTAAAAGTTGTCATTCAAATTCCTGCAAAGTACTTTAAATACACTATACACACTATACACATCATTCATCTGTAATGAAGCCGAAAGATCCACATAGGCAGGGGCGGCGAGTGTTGGCTCGGGCGCAGGGCCGACGGAGGAGGCGCTGCTGCACCTGGAGCTGCAGCTGAAGGCCATCCCGTCGTCGTGCCTGGAGATGTGCCGCGACACGCTCAACAAGCGCAACGAAGTGCTCACGTGGTTCTCCGAGCTCGACTCCAGCCGCAGCCTGCTCGACGACGAGATGCGCGCAAAGCTCGACGTCTACCGCAGAGAAGGTGGGCGCGTGTGGGCGCACGCTCGGTTAGGCTCGTTGCGAGCGTACAATGAAGTTTACACAACTAACCCTTCCTTCAGCGCGCACGTTTTTTTGATTTGGAGCGGGCAAGCTAACGTTGTTGAAACATCTGCAATTAATGCGAGCTAAGCTGCCTTCAAATCGTGTGTATAGTGAATGAGGCAACGCCTCTTCAAACTCCTTGGACGAGAAATTGATATTTCTGGTGGGAAAAAATATTTTCATCTTAGTCTACAGTATATGCTAGAGCTATCTGCAATATCTGCTAGAGAAAAATGTTAATCTGCAAGATTACGCTAATTTCTGTTCAAAATTCTTTGAGCTATATCATTAATTAATCATTTGTCCAAGACGCAACTGTGAGATCAAAAAATAACTTTCTAGACACAATCGACACTTTAGTTGAATTATTTCTAAAGCATATTTCGATATCCTAACTTTCATAAATTAAAAATAAATTATTGTTCTTTGTAACTCATTTAAAATTTTGATAATTTCACGCGCCTATACAGAACACAGCATCCGGCAATCTACCATCACTGCTATAGTTACCGTATTGTGCAATCACGAGTGAAGATTTTCAATTAAACTATACAAGCCCTTTATATGCCCTGCGCGTTGTCGTCACTGCGAACGAGTAAACTCTGCGCGAAGGTTATATTGCAGTGTAATTTGGTATTTGTCTCTGACGGTGAACACAAGCGAGCGGAAAAAAGAAAGATCAGTATCTAAAAAAACGGCAAACAGCATATATTCAGCACAGCGTTTCTCAACATGGGGTCGCGACAGCCACGGAAATAGTGGTAAAATGAAGGAAGGACCGCGATATTAACTTTCGACAGAAAAATAACGAAATAATTTACTGTAAACGTTTTATATTTGTAACTACAAATGCGAGGCAAATACATTCATGACTTTTTTATTTACAAGTTTCTTCATGCGTGGGTGTATGTTATCGTAATGTAATCACAAAATGTGAAAGCACGATTATTCAAACTTATCCATTCGCATGTTCAAATCTCGTTCTCAGAGCGAATTTTATAACAAATAACGAAGAGCACGTTCAAATGAAGTTGGAACCTGCAAATTTCTAATATCTGTTCACTTTAGGCACACCGTTAGCTACGAAAGCAGCTAACTAGATTTCATTGTGTTGGGGTCGAAGGGTCGCGAAATATTACAAATTCTGAAAGTGAGGAATTGCGTTTCTGACAAAAATGCCATAAAACATTTGTTTATCTGATGATAAGATGGAGCTTTATTTTTTTTCCACATGAAATTTCTCATCCTGTATACATTGCGTACATTAACATATCCATTACATACTCTTATTTTGAGGGGAGGCGAACTAAAATAGATAAGAATCTCAGCACTAGAGCAGCTGGTGATTGCATCACAAGCGAGACTTTGAGATGTTTCACGTCTCAAAGGTCTCGTCCGCTTGCACTCACAAGGCTATGTGTTGTATCAGCCCTTTTTGTTCATGACGCTTCAATTGCACGTCATTAGGCCGATAGTGGTTTCCTAAGGAAATAGCAGTTCAATTTTTTCAACATAACCTTATTGCCATAAACTCGGAATGAACAAATGCATAGCATGATCGAACCCGCTAAGATAACTTATGATAATTTGACATTATAAATAAATCAAACGTTTGTTCATTAATAGTATCCCGACAGTTTAGTAGTCAAAATGACCCAATATTAAACGAATTGGACTGAAATCTAGAATTCGCTTTCATTCCGCGAAAGCTCATACAGCGGTCACTTAGCAACGGCAGAAGGGCGCGGCACGCTGCCTCTGCTGACGCGCACCTGTCAGGCACATCGTATAATCCTAATAGCTGCTTTTAGCAGCCAATCCCATTGAATCGAAGCCCACGCTCGTGTTAGCCGGCGTGGAGGGGGCAGAGGGGCGGAGAGGTGGCTGGAGCCCTAACAAACTGGGGGTTGCAGCTCCATCGAATGACGAAAATGTGTTTTACAAAATTGAGAACAATAATATATGATAAAACAAAGCAATTTATGTAAATTATAAGTTCAGTAAAAGTATATTTTCAAACATTACTTATATAATTTTATGCGTAGTGTCCGGTCAGATATGTTGACCTTCCCCGCACTGGCTCGGGCTTCCGATTTTCAGTGGGCACTCTAGTTTTTGTATTAGCTCTGCATTGAGACAATTCCCGATAATAGAATTTATATGAAAACCAAAATAAACAAGATTTCGAAAATACGGTGATCGCATTTCTGCTCTTTTCATCAAACACAATTATTTGAATACATTTCTACACTAGTTCATTTCATAATAGTAGAGGCTATTGCTGACACTAGTGGTGGTAATAAAATTGTTTTATTTCGAAAATTTTCCTACCCTGTATATGATTGCTATAATGAAAGATCTTACACACACACGCACACACACACGCACACACACACGCACACACACACACACACACACACACACACACACACACACTATTCACAACAGTGCTCCCAGAATAACAGTAGGTTCTGCCGGGATAATTTTTGAACACGGGTGCACTCTAGAAGGACAGAGAGGGATTTTCTTTCAGAACGACCACCCTTACTCCAAGGACTCATAATGCACATTTTGAATCAACAAACCTAACATCAAATGAAAGTAAATTCTGCAAATATCATAAATAATGCATTCAATACCGTCAAGAATGGTATAAACTTTTGTACTTTTAATAACACACGAAATTCATAAAATTAAGCTGCAGCTAGTTTCAGACGAAGACAGAAAATGGTATTCACCTCGCAAGCGACACCCTGCTGCCAGATCCCCCACGCTTCTGGACTAAAAGCCGGTGGTTGTTTGCGGTGCAGAGAGTGGAATAGTAGTTACGGTGTGAATACAACCAGGGCCGTATATTGATGTGTAGGGCTAAAGAGTTATCGCAATAAAAGAGCTTAACAGCGTGATAGAGTTTTCTGCTTACGAGAGCACCACACGCCGGAGAGAGCACTCGTTGCGCGTTCTTGATTTCAAAACGATTTCATATAAATCGATATTGCTGCAATACCTTGAATAGTAAATGCCATTCAAAATATAGGATCCAAACATATAAGATTTTGTTTCGATTATCGAGGGGTTGTGCAACATAACCGGTATAGTCGTATTGCTTAATTATGCTCCGTGAAGTCACGGAAGTTATGCAACTCGCGTCATCACGGATTTCTGTGTGAGTGACGACTTAGGAACCCCGATTACTATCGGCAGCGAGACGCTAGCCGAAATGACTGACACCGACGTTACGAGACACGGTCAAATTTATTGGAAGATTCCCCCAAGTATGTATAAATGCTCAATGGCTAAGAGTGGTTGTTACGAAAAAGGTGCAACGGAATTAAGAAAAAGAAGAAAAACGCCGCCGGGCGGGCGGGCTGGCGTGCGCAGGGGAGGCGAGCGACGGGGAGATGGAGGCGGCGCGCGACGCGCAGCTGGGCGCGGTGGAGGCGGCGCTGGGCATGGTGCGCGCGCTGGCCACGGGCGCCGAGGCGGCGCGCACGGCGCACGAGACGGCGCTACAGCAGCTGCAGCAGCAGCGCGCCACGCACGCCGACCGCCTCGAGGGCGAGGAACACCAGCGCGAGCAGGTGCCCACGCCCACACGCGTGCGCAAAGCGTTCGAAATAGTGTAGCGACATCCACAACAAAATTACTACGTTAGCAATCATCGATGTTCAAAACTAAAACATCGATGAAAAAAATACATCGCCTAAAAAGGATCTGCGTTTTTTGAACATCGATGTTTTTAGTCTCCAGTTATAACCTCTAAAATGCACACCATTAAATTCGTATGCATTAAAATTTTATTTGACAGTGTTCGTGATTATCAATCGTGAATAAGGGTACGAGAAGAAGAGACTGACCGTACGCCCACAGCGTATTTTTTAATTATATCTCAATGTGTAAAATGAATATGAAGAAAGAGGAAATACTAGTGCAAAGGCATGAAGGTCATCTTGGGCAACATAGTTTGCTCGATGAAGGTAGTACAGCGGTCGTTTGGTCCCAACACCTGAACAACAGTGTCACCATACGCTATTTCGTATTTTAACATTTGCAGTATTGTGACCAAGGGAATTTTCCATACAGAAACAAAACATTGGAAAATAAGAAAATATCAATCAGGAAACATCGATGTAAAAGAACATCGGAATAAATCGATGCTTCTTCAGTGTTTTGAAAACGTCGACATCGATGTCTCATCCCTAGTTCGCAGGGACAGCCCGCCAAGGGCATGGCAATGCAAAAAGAGTTGGCCCCTTTAACGATTCTTGAGCAGAAAAATAGTTGTTTAAAATCATTATGTGCAAGGTAATCAATTATTCATGCACGCGGATATATTTACCATAATATAAAATAGAGCGTTTTATCCTTTTTAACATTAGGATATATTTTCTAACATTATGCCTATGAAATTAGAAGTATACCGACTTCGACCCTTAATTACATCGTAAACAATGATGCGACATTTTATCTACTTCAAGAA